AGAAAATACATATATACATATATACATACGTATACATATATATATATATAGCTAAAGAATTGATGTATTATATAAATAAATAAAAATAAAGAATAAATAAAGAATTACCTTGCTAAGAACCTCAGATAACTTAAGGATCCTTGTCATCTCGTCCTCCGTCATCCTTCCCATGGGTATACCCGTCCATAGACTAAGTATACGAGCAACATCATCTACAACAAGGTCTATTTGTTCAGGATCAGGACGCTGTGAATAAAATAAAATACATAAAATATATTTATTTTATTATATTGCTTATTGTTTAATTAATTATTTAATAAAATAAACAAACAAGAACTCTATTTATACAACACAACGCATCATCGATGATGAGAGCGCCACCCCTTCTTATCCACCACCATGTAATCAGCAGAAACAGGAAGATAAATAAGACAAAATAACAGAATTACTTAATCAATAAAGAAGCAAATACAATAAATATAACAATATAAACAAAAACAGCCTAATGGTATGACCATTGGTCATGTTATTTATCAACAAGACGAGCTATGCACGAACAAGACGGTCAAGAAAATCGATAAAAAGCATCGAAGGAATAACAATATGCAGATAAAAAAACGTGCAAAAAGAAAAAACATGAAAATAAACAAGAAAGCATAATAAAAGGGAATATAAATATAAAATATACAATAAAATAAACAATTTAATGCCATTAGATGGTTTTTTTACCTCTTCTGTTGGCTCCGTGAGGGTCTTGAACTCCTCCTCTAATGCCTTCAATTCGCCATCTGGCTGTAGGCAAACAGAAAGAAGAAAAAAAAAGGAAGAAATCAAGAAATAAGCGTAAAAGGAGAAATAATAATAATAATAAATAGTAAGCGAAGGAAACGTCAACCCAGCAAAGAGAAGCAAAAACAACGTACAAATGCATATAGATACAGCAACAACGGGAGGAACAGACAACGACAAACAACATAGGGGAAAGTAGATCGAGGTAAAAGGAGGTAATAATAATAATAGAACAAGAGAAAGGGAATAAGAAATACAAAATAAAAGTCATAAAAAAGGAAAAGAATAAGAAAGAGAAGCGAGAGAGGGAGAAGAACAGGATAATCCTTACCAGTGTGATCTTTTTCTGTCTATGCTCCTCTAATAACTTAGTGACCTCCGCTACTCTATTATTATGACGAACTCTCCTCATAGCACAAGATTCATCAAGAAGATCCAGAGCTTTGTCTGGGAAAGATCTTCTCTTTATATATTGATCAGATAAACCAACAACTGCTGCTAATACTTCGTCACTTATACGCATGTTATGGTGACGTTCGTAGTTACCCTTTACCTTAGTAAGGATACCTGTAGTAAATTGGCATAAGAAACAATATATACTTGGATATAAATATATCAATTGACCAACTAAATACACAACGTTCTTATTTATTTATTTGCTATTTTATTTATTATTCATCTATTTATACGATAAACTTATTGGTATACAAACACTACTACTACTACACAGAACAACAGGACACAAGGCAAGGAAAGACAAATAATGAAGGCACAATCCACTACTACTCAATTATTCAATTAATCTAATTAACGTAATTAACATAATTAAATTAATTAAATTAATTAAACTAAATTAATTAATGAATTACTTAGAGTTCGTTCCTTGGAGGGCGCCTCTACGACGATTTTCTGGAAACGACGGCAGAAGGCGGCATCCTTCTCAATGTAAAGTTTGTATTCGCTGAGTGTTGTTGCACCAACTAGCCTAAATAATAACAAAAAGGAGCACATATATCCAACAACTACATCTTATAACACAAGAAACAGCAACGACAGCAGCAGAAACAGCAGCAACTGCAGCAGAAACAGCAGCAGCTAGCACAACATATCTGCACCTATCTAGCCTGCTTGTTACCCCCGCCACCGACAGTTATTGTCTGCAAGAAGCCCATCGGTGTTGTCTGAGGGCTTAGGGCTTAGGGATTAGGGCTTGATTGTTGTTTAATTACGTACACAATCTCTCCTCTTGCCAGAGGAACCTTAAGGATCTGGCTAGCATCCATGCTGCCTGCTGCTTTTCCTGCACCAATAAGAGTATGTATTTCATCAATAAATAGAATAACTTCATCTACATTTGCTTGTAAATATTGTATAATTTCCTTCATTCTTTTTTCAAATTCTCCCCTCATTGCAGATCCAGCAGACAAAGACAGTAAATCTAACGCAAAGATACGGCGTTTTCGTAAGGACTCAGGTACAGCACCCTGTACATATTATAAACAAATAAAACAAATAAAAAACTAGATTATTCATTTATTATTTTACTAATAATAAAAATATGGGGGTAATAAGAAGGAACAAATAAATAAAGAAATAATAAGTAATAATGACTTGTAAAATTAAGAAGAAATAATAAATAACAATGCATCAACATTGCGCATGCAAGGAGAGCAATAGCGTAGCTGCAGATCTAGGGCTTAGGGTTTAGCTTGGGTTTAGGGTTTACCTCAACAATACGCTGTGCCAAACCCTCGATGACTGCTGTCTTTCCTACACCAGGTTCACCAAGCAGTATGGGTGCCTTTGTCATCTTTCTGCTTAAGATCTGAACGCCAACCCCAAACCCTAAACCCCAAACCCTAAACCCTAAACCGCACAAGCCCCCGATTCCCTCAAACCCTAGCCATCTTGTGTGCCTCGTTTACTGGTCCTCAGTGCACCTACGTGCAACACATATATATTTGTGCAACCAGGGGATGTCTGAGGGTTTAGGGTTTCGGGTATATCTTACCTGTGCAATTCTGTCGATTTCTTCATCTCTGCCTACAACAGGAGGTAACAACCCTTGTTGTGCCATGAAGGATAGATCAACACCATACTGAGAAATAGTTACATCTGTTGCTCCTTGTCTATCGGCAACCATGTCTTGGAAGGAAACAGGAACAATACCCCTTTGCCTCCCCTTAAATTCAAGAACTATTTCCCTATACACACAACAACAGATAAAACATATAAATATAAATAAATAAATAAACAAGCAAACAAGAACAAAACACAACAACTCCTCTCTTTCCTCCTCTCTGTCTACGCCTCTTTCTGCCTCTCCATCTCCCTCTACATCCCTCTCTCTGTGCCTTATTTTACTCCCCTTTCTGTCTCTATCTGTGCATCCGCCTCTGCATCTACCAAATCTACGACATCTACTAGGATCTGCTGCTACATGAGCAGCAGCAACAGCAGAAGCAGCAGGAGCAGGAGCAGTAGAAGCAGCAGCATGAGCCAGGAGCAGTAATAAATATAGAATTCTTACGTTTTGAATACTTTAAGATCACATCCACTTTTGAGCATAATTTTTTGGAATGCGGGAATACCAACAAGAGAGAGATATAAATGATGGACACCAATTGGACTCGCTTCCTCTTCGGCTAATTTCCAAGCTTTCCTTAATGCATTTCGAAGTGCTACAGATGGACCACTCTCACCCAAGTTTATTGGGGTCTGCAAATATATAGAATATATATTATATATTATTATTTATTAGGGTTTAGGGTTTAGGGTTTAGGAAACAGGCAGAAGAAGGAGTATATATAGTTGCTACGATGAGCTAGGTATGGGGATCGGTGAAGATAGGTAAATAGCTAACTAGCTAGCTACATTGCTAGATAGGTAACTTGATTCCTACCAAGCCAGCTAGCTGGCTAGCCATGCAGCTGAATGGCAAGCCTGTTTGGAGGGCAGGTAGATGGCTAGCTGGATCTATGCAGCTAGCTGGATAGCTAGCTAGCTAGGGGGCAACTTACGGCAGATCGAGGCAAATCAACGATGAAATCCTTGACAGAGTGGCGAATGAATTCGTAATCTCCTCCGCACTTGTCAATTACACCTCTCGAAACTGCGCACATATACACATCAGTTAGGGTTTAGGGTTTAGGGCTTCCTCTGTTGTTCGTTGCAATGCTGCGCAGTGCTGCATAAGCTGGTGGTTAGGTTTTAGGGTTTAAACGCTGCCGATCTGCTTGCCGTGTTCTTCCTGTGCGAAAAACAGTTCCCTAAATAGGGTTTAGTGTTAATTTAGGGTTTAGGGTTTAGGGTTTACTTTCTTTGTGTGGCCCCTCAAGCAGGCACATGGCCACGTGGGCCACCGCTAGCCGATCATTTTGCAAATACCAAGCCAGCAGTTCTACATGCTCTGTAACAAGACGAGCATCAGGAGTTAAGTCGCTTCCTCCCTGCGCGGAAACCATAGACCCTAGACCCTAGACCCTAAACCCTAGCTCAAATCCTAGAAGCGAGAGGAGGACGCACGCCCACACCGGGCGCTCACAGGACACACACCAATGCAAGGCCCAAACCCTTCACAACCAACCACAAAACCCTACCCCTAAGCCCTGAACCATCTCGTTCACAATAAACCCCAACGGAAACCCTAAACCCTAAACCCTAGCCTCAACAAAGAACGCATCGCTCACAAAACAAAACCTAGCTGCAACAAGCCAAGATAAACCCAGCAATTCTTGCTAAAAAACCCTTATTCCTCATGAGAACCCATCTGTAAACCCTCGGGGAAATTCCCATCTAAACATTCATTGAAACCCTGTCTAAACCCTCACGCAAACCCTCATCTAAACCCTAATATGGCAACAATGGCTACAGAGGGGTCATGGGCATCCAGCACGAGCATGCACCCTTTGCTTGCACCTCCAGCACTGTCTTTCCTAAGCCATAAACACTAATAAACCCTCAAGGAACCCTCAAACAATCCCTCATGACCCCTCATTAACACTAATAAACCCTCATAATCCCTCGTGCTCGGCTGGTTCCCTGTTTAGGGGGCAGGGGGGGCTTAGGGCTCCTCAAGTGATGTTAAGAAGAGGCGAGCTGAAGGAAAACTTACAAAGTCAGCCCCTTGATTTGCTGCAAAGGCAGGAAAAGAGAAAGAAGAGCACAGCAGCAGCAGCGGCGCTGCTGCTGCTGCTGAGAAGAGCCTGTAC